GTGGTATTATAAGTTTACAAGATCATATATTATTATATTTATAGAATTAATTCTTTTCATTTAGAAGTTTTCTGTTAATGTTATATACATTTATTTGTTTAATACTACAATATATTTAATTAAATGCTACGTAAGATTAGAAACTTATAATTTTACATAGATATTTTGTTTGTCTACAATTTTGTGGACATTATTATAAATAATAATGGTTTTGTCTAACCTATACTCTGCAAGTACATGTTAAGAGTTCAATAAATGCATCTTTTTGTAATTAATTTACATTAAAAATTATAAAAATTAACATTTATTTTAAGATAATGTTATGTTTACCCTCTTCTGTTACACACTCTTACTCACACTCACCCCTCGTTACTTTCCCGTTAACTCCTAAATGCACTCCCCCTTTCTTTCTCGATCTCCTTTCCTATCTCTACAGTTCCAGCCGATTCTCAGACATCTCCGATCGTTCCCCTTTTTTCTCAAATGATCCATTGCTACCACGATGCTTTTCCATTTCCCGTGGGTCACCGGACAGCAGGATATCTAAGGAAGAAGACTGTGCAGGAGAAGGAGCAGAGACAGAGCAATCATCAATTGAAACAATGGAGGTGGGTTGCATCAAACCCTAAAGCAGATCTAGCGAAAGCATCAGACCCAGAAGCAAATCTAGCGGAAGCAGTGGAAAGGACGCTGCAGATGTCCTAGAAGCTAGTTATTTGGGCATCTTCCTTTGTTTCACATTAAACAATTGTTTCTTATAAATATATTAGCTAATTAGCCACCACCCATTTGTCTGCTCTTTTCAAAATCTTTGATATCACTTCTGGGTCTTGGTGCTTTTTCTCAGGGGTAGTTTCGATCAGGGTAATTGAGGTTTGGGTTTTTATTTTTGTTGGATTTTGCTTTAATCTGGGTGTATTCTTATGCTGTGCTTTGTTTCTAAATTGAAATCGGTTTTAAATGTTTTTTTTTTTCCTCCTTTTTGTTGCTTTAGTGAAGAAGTAAGTAGTTTTGCTTTTGGGTTTTACTTGAAATTTTCTGATCTGGGTTCGCTTTCTGATGTATTGTTGATCCACTTACTAGCACTTGTGAATATTTCTCTAAGATCTGCAACTGGGTTCTCAGTGAATATATCGCGCTACAGGGCGGTGGTGGCGAAAGTAGATCTGTTAGTGGTGGGTTCGAAGGAACCCAGGCTGCTGAAGAGGAATATGAGGCTGCAGATGATTAGGATGAGGATGGAGGTCTTTGTATGTTTTCAGTTCATCAACTAGAGGGATTCTGATGGTTTTGATCAGTAAGGAGGATGGTGAATAGTAATAAGGAGAAAGGAAAGGAGAGGGAGAAAGAAAGGGTTGGGTTGGTACTTAACAGAGAGTAACATAGAAAGTAATAGAAACTAAGAATGTGTAACAGAGTGTGTGATGGAGGAGGGTGAATGAATCACCACATGGATAATTTTAAATTGATTAATTGATTAAATTAAAGTTAACATTTATACTTTTAATAAAAATTAATTATGAAAAGGTGTATTAATTTTACCACTATCCTATGCCCTAAAAAATCGAATAATTATATAAAACTTTGTGGTCGACACAATTAATGACACAATTAAAACCTCAATTTACCCTTAATTTAAATTTATAGTATTGAAATTTGTATATTCATTTACTCATGTGGGTAAAGCTAGGAAAAAACTAAAAAGCTTCTAATTATTTGTTGGATTTTTTTATACTATGTCCTTAATTAGATCATATGTCACTAATGTATTTATTATACGTTTTCACAAATAATTTGCATAAAAAATATAAATATTGATTTTAATTTAATAAAATTAACTAATAAAAATTATTCATGTAATAATGATGTTAAAATAAAGATTAATTTTTGTATTTTTTTATAAATTAAATGTAAAATAATGTATTTATTAATTGTACCTTAATATTATAAATTAGATAAATCCTTATTCGTTTAAAAAAAATTAAAAAGTAAATTGGATATTTCTTTTTGTAAGGAACCAAATGAAACGAATAAGTGATTTAAACTTTAACCTTAAAGTAATTAGGGAACAAGAACCAAAAATATAAAAAATATATATTATTATATGATTACGGATTCAAAGAATGACATAAATCAATTATATATGCATGGTTGATTGGAAGAAGAAGATATACCTTAAATTGCTAGTATTTTCTCCAACCGACAAGAGTAAGGATCGACCAATGTGCCTGACAAAAACTTCTCCACAAGTTGCCTGTAAAGTAGAAACCGAAATGCAAAAAATTTAAAAGGAAGAAAATCACTATGCGATCTATGATAAGAAAAGTAAAAGCCAAACAAGAGATTATGCTACTACATAATACAATTTAATAAAAAGATCAAAAAGTCGGAAATATCAAAGTATAATGAAAAGATTATAGTACTAGATTATACTCCTCTAAGTATCAGAAAATAAAGCTTTGAGGGAAGTAAAAGGAGTGGGGAAAAACACACATTTAGGAATTAGGAACTATATATACCTGCTGCCTGAAAATTGTGCTTCTTCAATTTGAGTCTTTGAGAATATTGAAAACGTAAATTGCAGAATATGATGTAGATTTCACCAAATTGATGCAATCTGCAAAACAAGAGAATACAATGTGAGATGTAAAGTTAAATATAGGAAAATTTTCACCAAAAGAAAATGGTTAACAGAATCAGCAGTAAAGTTAGGAAGGTTTTAGGAGTTCAATTTATATTTTCCCTAACACAAATTCTCAACTTATAAAATTTTCTTTCCACCTACTTCGTAAGAAAAAAGTTTTTCCACAACTATTCTCATATTGATCCCACTTAACAACT